AGGAGTGGGGAAAGCAGCCAGCTGGGGTTTGCCTGGCTTGGGCTGGAGGAGAGGGGGAGCCATGAGGTTGGGGGGCTCTGATCTACCTGCCTCCACTTCAGGTCACACCAGGCAAACTCCAGCCCATAGCTCACTCCCCCTCCCCTCCTGCCCCAGGAGCATGGCTGAGCTAGGCTGGGCTGGCCTGCATCAGTCCAGCCCCAATCGTGCCACAAATTAGCCCTAGGGAACACAAGGTCCCAAAGGCGCTCTAAAATGGAGTAGCCTTAATCTGATCCCTTATTCAATGAGGCTTAATTTGTTACACAACTGGCCGCTTTAAAAGCACTCTGCAGCCGTGCATGTGTGTCACAGCATGGCTGTAGAGTGCTTTCCGAGAGCTGATCATGCAAAAAACAACTTCTGTCTGCACCCACAGTTTAAAAGGCCCAGAGAGATATGTAAGAGTCATTGTTGGTCTGCCTGCCAGCAGATAGGAGACATCATTGTTGTTCTTACCCGGTGACCCACGACTGAAAAGGCTGGTACCTGTCACAAACTCCTGCAAGACAGTTTTAGGCTGGACACAAGGAAAAACTTCTTTACTGTCTGAGTCCTCAAGGCCTGGAACAGCCCCCCCCCAGACGTGGTGCAAGCACCTACTCTGGACACTTCCAAGAAACATTTGGACCCTTATCTTCCTAGGATCCTTTGACCCTAGCTAACTTCGTGCCCCTTGGGCAGGAGGCTGAACCTGAAAATCTTACAAGGTCCCTTCCAGCCCTAATGTCTATGAAATCTATGAAATCTTAGAAGTTGAGGTTGCAAGTGTTTTTGACACACTGCCGAAAAATGTTGCCAACCCTGAACTAAACATTGATCCATTTTATAGCACATAATGTATCTAGCTATTGGTTTATGAGCACTCTGGCAAGGTGCCAGAGGACTGGAAAAGGGCCAATGTGGTCCCCATTTTCAAAAAAGGGAGGAAGGAGGACCCAGGAAATTATAGGCCTGTTAGTCTTACCTCAGTCCAGGGGAAGCTCTTGGAGAAAATTATCCAGGTGCACATCTGCGAGGGGCCAGCAGGATAGATTATGCTTACGGGCAACCAACATGGGTTCATTAGAGGCAGGTCCTGTCAGACCAACCTGGTGGCCTTCTATGACCAGGTCACAAAATCCTTGGACAGAGGTGTCGCAGTGGACATAGTCTCTCTGGACTTTAGGAAGGCCTTCGACACCATCTCTCACCCCATTCTCGTTAAAAAATTAGGCGACTGTGGTGTTGACATCTACAGAGTCATATGGGTCGCAAACTGGCTGGAGGGCCACACCCAGAGAGTGGTGGTGGACGGGTCATTTTCAACTTGGAGGGATGTGGGCAGTGGGGTCCCCCAGGGCTCGGTCCTCAGGCCCACACTGTTCAACATCTTCATCAGTGACTTAGACAAGTGGGTGAAAAGCACCTTGTTCAAATTTACAGATGACACTAAAATGTGGGGAGAAGTGGGCACGCTAGAAGGGAGGGACAGGCTGCAATTGGATCTGGACAGGTTACAGGGGTGGGCTGATGAGAATAAGATGGGATTCAATACTGACAAGTGCCAGGTACTGCACCTAGGGAGGAAGAACCAGCAGCAGACCAACAGGCTGGGGAACTCCCTTCTCGTCAGCACAGAGGCAGAAAAGGATCTCAGAGTCATTGTAGACTCCAAGATGAACATGGGCCGCCAATGTGGGGACGCAGTCAGGAAGGATAATTGCACCTTGTCATGCATCCACAGATGCATCATGAGCAGGTCCAAGGAGGTGATCCTCCCCCTCTATGCGACATTGGTCAGGCTGCAGTTGGAGTACTGCGTCCAGTTCTGGGCGCCGCACTTCAGGAGGGATGTGGACAACGTGGAGAGGGTCCAGAGGAGGGCCACTCGCATGATCAGGGGTCAGCAGGGCAGGCCCTACAAGGACAGGCTACGGGGCCTGAACCTGTTCAGCCTTCACAAGAGAAGGCTGGGAGGGGACCTGGTGGCCATCTATAAACTTGGCCAAGAGAGACCAGCAGGCTATGGGAGAGTCCGTTCCCCCGAGCACTACTGGCAGTAACAAGGAATAACAGCCATAAGTTGACTGATGGTAGATTCAGGCTAGATAACAGGAAGCACTACTTCACAGTTAGGGCAGCTAGGATCTGGAACCAACTTCCAAGGGAAGTGATGCTTGCTCCTACCCTGAGGGCCTTCAAAAGGAGGCTAGATAGACACCTTGCCAGGGTCATTTTTTCCTGCCCATGGCAGGGGGTCAGACTTGATGATCTACTCAGGTCCCTTCCAACCCTACCAACTATGAAACTATGTTTTACCCAACTCCTGAATTCTTTCCACACAGAAAGTGAGAATGATCCTCCTAGCAGTCAGCTTTTTTCTTCTTAGAATTCTCTCTCTGCTATCCCTGTAAATTTCTTACACCTCCTCCCACTGTTCTTTACTATGCTGTGCCTGGCTCCCGGTGATCAAACCTGAGGAAGGTCTTGCATTCGAAAGCTTGTTTAACTCTATTCCAACTACATAGTTGGTCCAGTTAGAGATACCATCCTAAGAAATTCTTGCCTTACATAATTTCTGGACCATCATGGCTACAGCATCACTCTTATACTACTATAACCTCCATATTGGCACTAATGCATAGGTGATCAGTACAGAACCCATATTAGTGCTAGTGAATACCCTGGAGCTCACAACAGACCTGATTTGGTCTGAATTTCATTCCTCAAAGATAAGGTCAATGCCAAGCAGAGAACCAATGGCAGCAACGTCTGTTGCATCAGTCTGCTCCTAGCCTCCTGCCCATGCCCACAGTCCTGGTCAGCATGCACAGCTTACCAGTGGGGCTGCTCCAGCAGCTGCCCAGGTACTGCTCAGCTCTGCCACCCCTCTTGCAGCTCCTTCTCCTCCTGCCCCAGCTGCACTGCTCAAGGTAGTACAGGGAAGCAATGGTGGCCATGGGGACATGTGCTGGGCAGCAGATGTCCAGCCAGAGAGGGAAGCTGCAGCCAGGCAGCTCCTGCCCCAGTGCACAGGATTTCAGCAGCAGCTCCTGGCCGTCTTCCACCTACTCAGGTGCCTGCTCATTGCACTGGGTGGACAGAGTGGGTAAAAGGCAGCCTGCAGCTGGAGTCCCTCACACTGGGGAAGAATCCTTCTGGCTGCAGCTTCCCCCCTACCTGGCTGGGCATCTGCTGCCCAGCCCGCACCCCCACAGCTTCCCCACACTACCTGCTGCCCAGAGCAGTACAGCAGGGACAAGAGGGGGAGGGGGAGCCACTGTAGGTGGGGGGATGCAAGCAGTGCAGACGGCTGCAGGTGGGTACACCACCCAAGCAAGCTCTGCTGCACGCACACCCTCCTCACCTTCAGCTGGCTCCTGGGACCTGGCCTGTGGGCAGCCCCTCAAACACACATGCACACCCCACTTTCTACCCCCCCTACAAACGCACAATACACAAAAGTAAGACTATTTTGAGCTGCTATATATACCCGTATATACACTACTCAAAAGAAATCAGGACAAGCTCACAGATTTCAAATGTGCCATTTTGACAAGCCTTGTAGTACAAGGAAATCTGTAAGGGGAGGTGTGGAACAGGGAACAGGAAAAGAGGAAAAATGACAAGTGGAATACACAGACAAGACACTGGAAATGGGTGTGGGGTGGGGCAAGGGGAAGAAAATAAGAAGTGGTTCTGAAGTTTGGTTTGTTTGGGGTTTTTTAAAGAAATATTTCAAATTGAATCCACAACAAGAGCTAGTGGTTTGACACTCCATAGCTTCCTTCTAAAAGCCATGCAAAAAGGGATCTGAAGGAGAATTGTGGCTATGCACAAGCATGAGGAAGCACAGAGCACAAACATAATTTAAAGGTTTTCATTAAGAAAATTCCCCATGTTGCTTCTGTGTCCGCTGGGGAGAGCACCGAAGGACCCACCTGTGGCCCCTCCAGGTCAGTGATCTGCCACAGGGGGATCCCAGGTGCTCCCCCAGACCCAGGAGGCACTGCCGAGCTGGTGGGGCCCCCCAGTGGACCGGAAGCGTTTCTGGTCCACTTCTGGGTCTGCTGCTGAACATGCTGGGGAGTCCCCCACACTCCTGTGGGATGCTCCATGCACCCCAGCATTTATGAGCCGCCAGGTACCTTGAGGTACGTAGAAAAAACATTTCAAGCTATGTCTATGTCCGAATCACCGAATCTTTCCAAAATCAATTCGCAGGGTTCCAATTCGATTCAAAGAAGTTAAAGGGTTGCCCGATTCGATTCGGATTTGGAGATTCGGCCACTGAATTGGGCCAAATCAAAATCAGGAACCAAAACTTCACACAGCCCTACTAAATATAATTGCAACTCACAATTCTCATTTCAGCACTGGTAGGAAAAGAAAAGGAAGCACATGATCCAACTGCAGCAGCAGTGTCACAGAAACTGGTCTGAGTTAAAAAGGCTTTGTCTTTTGCTTTAAAAAATGCAAGAGGAATGAACGTTTTTAAATCCTTTATTAAGAAGAAAATATATCTCTGTTCCAGCTGGTCAAGATCTCATAACATACAATTCAGAAAGGTCATAGGCAGTTTCTTTACTGTTAGGGTTTTGGGGGATATATAGCTCTCATCATTAAGGTTGTCCCTTGAAGTAGCCTGCAGAAATAACTTAATATCCTTCAATTCCCTGGAAAAAATCAGTCACCTCGCAGCAAGTCACCTAGGAGAGTAAAATAAATAGATAAATAAAAAGCTTCGAGAGAGAAAAATTCTACAAGACAAGACATTATCAGTACTTGAATAAACTTCCAAATTAAAGGTTGCTCTAGTGACTGACTTCAGGGTTTCATTTTGGCAGCATTTCCAAGAACACAAAGTATTGCCTTCGTCACAAGCATGACTCACAATAAAAGATTACATAGGAAGGAAAGCCATATTTAAAACAGGACTATTGTTTTTACTAATCTTAAACCCTCTCAGCCCCATTTTCTACCTGCCTTCACATCCACCTCTGTTACAGGACAACTTTTTATTAAGGATCAAACCATGCTCTGGCCTTCTAGGATTGCTCACAAAGGACACAAACTCCTGATGGCCTTTGACTACCAGAGACTATCCAAGGCCAACATCAGTCACTCTTGTGCAGAGATAGATACCTGCTTTCCCTTCCTCTTAAGGCAGCCAAATTTCACAGCCAATGAAATGTTAAGGCAGGGCTGATCCGGTCTTGAGCAGATTGGGTTGAACTAGAAGTCTTCTCATAATCCCTTCTAGCCTCATTTTTCAGTTAGTGCGTTCTGCTAGTTCGGGCCTACTAGTGACACTGACTGAGTTCTTAGGGTCAATGAAGAGACAGAGACCAAGCAGGAAGCACAGTTTTGAAATCTATACTCACCACACGCAGAGTTCCATTATTCATCTTGCTTATACTTTAAATCCCAGCGCTCTCATGCATTCCTTATGGGCCTCAATAAGAGGCCCACAATTCTCCTCCCCTTTTTCAATGATGCTACAAAGCAAAGAGATTTCTCTGGTTAGCCAGCAATATAGTCACCATGTTAATACTCGTATATGCAAGACCAAAAATCTGTAACTTTTAGTGTAAACGGGACACAAGCATATCACAGAGTTTAGTGTGAGTCTACCTTTACCAACTTGGCTGGTTTTACACTTAAACATCCCTATTTGTTTGTTTTTTCAAGTTTCCCCCCTCCCCAAGTTTGTTTGCTGCCCTAGAAAAACTACTCAGCTTCCTTCATGGAGAAATAACTGAAAACAAAGCAGCACCTAGAAAAAATGCTGACTGCCTCCTTTTGTTTCCAATGAAATTACAGCCACAGGAAGGCCTCAGTTAAGATGGATGCCACTTTCCAACAGCTTCTGTAAATGTAAAGCGCTAACTTTCTCTGCCAGGGGTAACCTCCCTAGAGAAGATGGCAGATAGTTGGGCTTTATTGTTAGTCTGTTTAGTAGAGCCCAAGACAAATGCACTGTTTTGCTAAATAGGAATCTATAAAACTATTTATTCAGAAGTGGGTCCAAAAGAAGGTAAACCCACACAGGCTGAAAGTTTTTGAAACCTTGTAATTTGAGAACTCCACTGCATAGATTATGTAGGCTAACCATACTCTATCTGCCAGGGACTTCCTTATCCCTCCACCCAACAAGCTATCTGGGCACCACCCTCTCTATTTTGGGGACATTCTGCAATTCCCCACAACTTTTCCTTCACAGCAGGTCCTCTCTGTTCCCCGTGGCCCTCTCCCATAGCCAGGAACCTATATGCCCCATTGCCATAATGCACCATTGGTCCTCATCTGCACTTGGCTCCCTACCAGTTCTTCATTTTCCCACTCCATCTTGAGTCTGGATTTCTACATTTCTCATCACAAACATTCACATGTTCTCTTGTGAATTCTACTTTGTCCCCACCACCAAATCCAGGCTTTATCTGGCACATACTTCTTCACACTATCACTCTTTTCCAGCTTCCTCACACTGCTCCTCTCCGGGTCTCTCATGCATCACTGTGGATATTCCAACCCCCGTCCCCAAATGCCAAACTTGCTCTCGCTTCCCCTTCTACACTCACTAATTCCTCTTCTACACCCCTCCTACACACACTTCCTATAAAGATTGTCTTACTCCTATTATGGTCTGGGCTACAGAAAACACCTTCATACAGCAGTGAAGCTGCTGCCTCCAACAGATATAGCCTTCAGGTACTTGAAGGCTGCTATCAAATCCCCCCTCAGTCTTGGGATACAGTATATTCTTAAGCAATAGGTTTTATATCTGTTCAATTAAGTATCCTTTATTATCCCCTCTTAATGATATATTAGTTGGTTTAATATAAATACCTAACCTTTATTTCAAATCCTACTAAGAGCTTGTCCTTAAGGATATCAAGCAAGCAGTACTGAGTGCCACAAACAACTATCGGTTGCATAAAACAGCTTAATTTTAAAATGCCTAATCTTTCCAGAGAAGGCATCTGCTCTTTCCTCACAAGGAAGCATTTCCTTTTCAGGAACTTCTGTACAAAATTTTGTACCGCCTTAAAAAAAAAGGAAGAAATGTCTGAACCTCAGATTGTACACCTTTCAATCACAGGAGCTCATGTATTAACAGTCAGGGTGTTGCTTGCTGCTTTACACTATTACTACAAGGTTTCAGAGCTGTTGCACAAAATCTTGCACAGAGTACTGTTTTTAAGACATAAAACCAATTTATTTATTTTTAGAATGGTTACTGCAGATATTATCTCCATCTATGAAAGCACCTACCAAGTTTTTGTGATTTAAAAACCACATTTCATTTAAATACACAAAAAAGTTTCTCTATTTTTTTGCTCTGTGCAAAATCCAAAGACAACAGAAGACCTTGACAATTCAGGAAGTATAGTGAAACGTGATATTAAAATAAATGAAGAAAGAAAAGAAAAGAAAAATATTAGGAAACCAACCATAAAAAATGGGTTCATGTGAATAATACAAACAAGCAAAAAAACAAAACAGTTAAGCGCATAAAGGTAATTGCAGAAAAAAACCCTGCAATTTTCCTTTTGTCCATATATCATTCTGCCCAATCGAAAAACTTCCTGTTCTTGAGCATTTGCAGTTTCACATGACTCCTAGTATCTTATTGCAGAAGTGTTGTAACCCCAATATCTGGCTGTGCAGAAACACTCAGCGAAATTTAAATGCAGCAATATTTGGAAAGGGAACAAAGTATGCTAAGGGGTAATTAATGAATAATTACAAGATGGATTTCAGGAAAAGGCCATGAGGTCTCTCAGACCCTGAATTATTACTCTCTCAAGGAAGGCAAAACAATGCCAAGCACACAAAAAAAACAGAGACAGGACAATATACTGCTGGGGCCAATAATCCTGTACCAGCTGAGAAGACAGATTAGATGCAAACTAAGAGTTTTTCCTTTCATTACTTATACTGGTGGTTCTCAACCTTTCCAGCGTCAAGGCACCCTTGGTAGTTAGGCGAGTGGGGAGCCCCCCTTCGCATGCTGCCCCCCCCCCCCCCCCCCCCCAACCCGCCGCCACCGCCC